GGGGGGGTCCCGGGGGTCCCCTGTCCCCCCCCCTCACCCTTGGTGCTGATGCCACGCAGGTCGGTGATCTTCATGAGCATTCGTGGGAACATGTGGGGCTGGCGGGGCCGGCGTCGGCGCGCGTAAACCTTCAGCGCTTCCAGCAGCGGCTCCTGCAGCTTCTCCACCTTCTCCGGCTCCTCCAGGTCCATGCGGTCTGGACGGGGGGGACACACACACGGTGGGGGGGTGTCACCAGCCCCGGTCACCCCCTTCTGTCCTCTATGGCCCCTCGTCTGACACCCATCCCTGAGCCCCGAATCCAGCAGGGTGTCCCTGGCGTCCCCATGTCCTCCTGATCCGGAGGTCCCGTGTCCCAGCTGCCTCCTGGCCTGGTGGTCCCGATGTCCCCACGTCCTCCTGATCCGGAGGTCCCTGCGTCCCCTTGTCCCTGCTTCCTCCTGGCCCTGAGGTCCCCGTGTCCTTGCTGCCCCATCATCCAGAGACCCCCACGTCCCTGCTTCCTCCTGAAGTCCCCACATCCCCACTGCCTCTTGGCCCAGAGGTCCCCGTGTCCCTGCCACCTCCTGGACCGGGGGTCCCACGTCCCCACGTCCCTGCTGCATCCTAGCCTGGAGCTCCTCCATGTCCCCACATCCTCCCCGCCTGGAGGTCCCCACGTCCCCACTGCCTCCTGAGCCAGAGGTGCCCGTGTCCCCACTACCTCCTGGCCTGGAGGACCCCCTGTGTCCCCCGTCCCCCCCTCCGGTCCCCCACCTCCGCAGATGAGGCAGATGGCGCTGAGCAGCCCGGTCTCGGTGTCGTCCATCTGGAGGGGCAGCAGCTGCCCGGCGAAGGCGAAGACGAGGTCGGTGAGGGGCCCGAAGCCGGCATTGTGCATCTGCGTCCGATTCAGCGTCAGCCCGTCCGAGAAGGTCATGGTGTCCTGCTCCGGCGTGTAGCGCGTGCAGATCCGCAGCATCTATGGGGGACGGACGGGGGGGGGGTGTCAGGACCCATGTGAGGCACCCCCCTGACCTCCCC